CAGCATTACCAACGCTGTTGAGCTTAGTTTCCGAAGTCCGGGCCCAAGGATGGTCACAAGTGGTTCATAAACCTAACAGGGAAAACATTTCAAATCTCATTTCTATCAAAGACATAAACCTCACACGTATCAATGAATTATCCGTTTCCCAGGTAGTGATCACAGATTCGTGTACGTCAGTATCGCAGCAACCGATCCGGCCACATGTTGTAACACAAGACGACTAACAGAGCTCTTCAGGGACTTAAGAAATGTAAACTGAGATACATTTGCTGTACTGCTGCGAAAAACGAAATGGGACCTCTGCTTCCTCACTAGAGATCCACTGGTTGCAGCAGACAAAAATGGCACAAATATCCAACACCGCCTTTATATCCCTGCTCCATTCGTACTGAGATCCGATAGGAAGGTTTCCATGAAAACTAGACGAGAAACATGCAATCTGCGTAAGCTGAAAATACTACGCTCAAAAATAAGAGACTTGCGATTTCTTGTTATCAGACAGAACAAGTTAATTGCCCATTTGCAGTCGATTCGTGCCACAAAGTTACTGGAAGAGGAAAAGCGAGCATTGGCACATGAAAATAAATCTAAAGCCTTGGACAAGCCACTGGAGGCCAGAAACGACAGTCAAACTAAATTGGTATCATGCGCAGTACTACCTGACAGATCCATGACCAGAGACCCCACCGTGATAGCGAACGTCATAAATGAACACTTTTCCACTTTGGTTACTATCTCAAGCAGAACACTACGATTAGCACTCCCATTGATGCTGACAAACTGAGCAGTGCAATTGTACTGCGGCGTTATTCGTGCTCACGTTGATCGGCTACGGTCTTCGTTTCATCCTGGACCTGGTGGTCCACCAACTTCTCTACTAAAGTTTGGTGGTGGGGATATTTCGCTTTTGCTTCTAAAGATATTTACCCTATTTATGAATTCGGGGATATTCCTGAATCAATGGAGACTCTCTTTCGTAGAACCTAGACATAAGAATGGTGGTCATCTAGACATAGAAAATTAGCACCCAATTATCCACACACACCGATTAGTTGGAGAATAATGGAAAGAATTGTGAGAGAAAACTGTTATACACTTACTGACATTGAATTTCACAAACCCAGCTCAACACGGGTTTATGTAACGAGGCGCATGTCAAACTTGTCAGCTAGGTTTTCTAAACTAATTGACAAGCTCCAATGACAATGGAAAACCAGCCATGATTCTCTCTATGGATATGCAGAAGGCGTTTGACAAAGTGCCGCACAACAGCCTATCGGCAAAGTTAACCAATTTGAGGGGGCCGGGACGTGTGTTAATAACAAATATACATGATATGTGCCACATAATGCATTCCGTTGACAAAACCCACTTGAAGAGGTGTATTGAAATAAAGATTTAACGTTGACAGTACCCCTTCACCCGATCCTCTTCCGCGTTTACTCGGGAAAGCATGGCTCAAATACACACCAATAAGTGTGGACCGCAGAGGGATTAAGAACGGAGATTGAGATATCCATATTTATCCCACTCGTCATATTCCGTTTACTCAGCCACTCCTACCTTACAGCCATACCAAAAAGTGTGAGCTGAGAAAGAAACGTTGACTGAATCGATGCATCTTCATTCGTTTGTACGATTGGTTCTTCCCATGTTGCCCTCATGTAAATCTATCAGACAGCAAGGTGAAGTTAAACGATACTGCTTCCAATATCTTCATTTCTGCCTCCAAAATCTCTTATTTTTCCTCTTGCTTACACCTAGCGTGCATTCAAACTAAAACGCCTGGGACAGTCGAGAAGTGTGAACCATGTTCGCCTCAAATACAACAGATAACTCTCCCATTCTATCTGTCCCAGTCCATAGGTATAGATTCTGAAATGAAAATAATCAAGTACCCCCGTCTTTCACCAATCAATTTCAGAACGCTACAACGTATAGTAAATTAGTAACGTACATCAGATACTCTTTGCAATAAGCATGATTTCGGCTGTGGCGTCGCGTAGGCAAAAATGAACCTTTCCATCCAACCCCCATCTCCATTTTGGACTGATTGCGGCAGCAGACCGACATCGGATGCCTGGTTCCGTTGGAAAACATCCTTCCTAAACTACTTGGATTTAATCAGCGATCTCCCTACTGCTCTTACTGAGGATAAAATATTGAAGCTGCTTCGTCATTTACTCGGAGATGAGGGACAGCGACAATTCGATGATTTGGGCCTCCAAGGATGCAAATCGGTTATGGACGCCTTCAATGCTCTCGATCGTGCATGGAGTTACCAAATGAACGTGTTTACCGCGCGATATATTTTCTCCCGAATACACCAAGAAGCAGGCGAACCCTTGAATGACTTCACTGCTCGGCTGAGTCGTGCAGTACGACCGTGTGCCTACTCGTCTATTCCACAGAAAAAGATTGAAAGCTGTATGCTCACTCAGCAACTGATCACTGGAATCGCTGACAATCGCATACGTGAGGGGCTATTGCAGGAAGACGCTTGCACACTAACGTGGGATCGAGCTTGCGAATTAGCCCGAGTAAAGACAGAAATTTCATTGCAATCGAAGCAGTTTTGTTCCACCAGCTTAGCTGAAGTGGCGAGAGTGCAATCTTTCCGGCAACGTCCGACAGACAAACTTTCTTGCTATCGTTGTGGGAGCACGTCTCACAAAGCTAATTTTGCCGGTTGTCCCGCACGCAGCCTCAAATGTAAAAACTGTGGTAAAACTGGTCACTATGCCCGCTGTTGTCGATCGCAGGCTGTCGCACTCATTAAAGATGATGATACACCGGAATGCCATGTTACCGATCCAACTCAAGACAATATCTATTCAATCACCGCTGACTCCATACCTTCAGGTTGTGTAACCATATCCGTTGTTGAACCGAAGTTTCCAGCTGCTGACATTCGTACTGTATTGTTCCTTACTGTTAAAGGTGCTGTTCCATTGGAAATGGAACTTGATTCCGCTTCTCCAGTTACTATCGTGCCTTTCCAATTTTATGAACGCTACCTATCACAGCATACTTTACATCCCACCTCACATTCATTGTGGAGTTATAGTGGGAACACACTAACCATATTGGGATTTATTATCGTGCCTTTGCAGTTGCATTCTGTGATTGCCGATGTCGCAGTGTATATTTCTTCGGACAACAGACAACCCTTGCTTGGGAGGAATGCTATGGTGGCTTTGCATATTGTACCATCATTCGACCGCATGCTTATCTCTTCCGTCAACGTAGCACACTGGCAGGAACATTATCCGAAGCTCTTCCAGAAGTCCATCGGCCGTATTCCATGTGGTGTGCATCGAATTCAGCTGAAACCGAATGCGAAACCGATCGCCATTGGTCAACCTCGACCCGTTCCGCTAGCGAAACGTGAAGCAGTCTCTGCAGCCCTGCAAGCGATGCTAGCAAATGATTTGATTGAACCCATCGATTGCTCTGAGTGGGTGCATCCAATGGTTTGTGTCATGAAAAAAGACGGTACTATCCGCATATGCAACGATTTGCAGGCGCTGAACAAACAGATCGTCGTAGAACGCTTTGTTTTACCATCTAATGATGAACTCACTGTACGTTTAGCTGGTGCAACTGTTTTTTCCAAGCTAGATTTGAAAAGTGCGTTTTTCCATATGCCATTGGCCGATGATTCCAAACACCTAACTGCCTTCCTCGCTCCTGATGGCCTATTTCAGTACAAAGTCTTACCCATGGGTTTGAGTTCCGCGCCCGCCGCCTGGCAAAAGTTCATGACTCACGCCCTGGCAGGTATCGATGGGCAGGTTGCCTACATGGATGATATTTGTGTTTTCGGCCGCTCACAGGAAGAACATGATGAAAGGCTACACAAAGTCCTCCAGCGTCTCAGTGATCTCAATTTGCGTCTGAACGCAGAAAAATGTCTCTTCAATGCACCAGAAATTCAGTTTTTGGGACACGTCATTTCACGCAGTGGCATTCGACCAAGTGATGAAAATATCAGGGCCATCACTGAAGCGCCAATACCCAAAAATTTGACAGAACTAAAGTCCTTTTTAGGAATGTGCTCTTACAACCTGCGCTATCTGCCGGATTTTGCGACTGTGGCAGATCCATTACGACAGTTAACAAAGAAAGGATCGTCGTTCGTTTGGGGCAGCAATCATCAAAATGCCTTTGATGAACTGAAAAGGAGAGTTGCGTCTGCTCCCTTAGTTGCCATTTTTGATGAATCTTGCCGCACCTTTGTGTCCACTGACGCGTCTGATGTCGGTCTCGGAGCTGTCCTCTCACAAATACAAAACGGAGAGGAGAAAGTTATTGCCTACGCATCACGAAAGCTATCAGATTCCGAACGTCATTATTCAGTTGGGGAAAAAGAAGCTCTTGCATGTGTATGGGCCTGTGAAAGGTGGCATTTATTTCTGTTCGGTCGTCGTTTTATTCTGCGTACTGATCATTCAGCCCTAACAGCTCTTCTCAGCAATGGATCTAAAGGATCTCGCCCAATGCGAATCGATCGCTGGTATGCCAGGCTCCTTAACTACGATTTTGAAATTGTGTACCGGCCAGGTTTGCAAAATCAGATTGCTGACGGCCTGTCTCGCTTACCCGTGGGGTTGGAGGATGGAAAAGAGAGACTCAGAGAGGCGGTACTAGTTTCCAGTCTCGGAGCTAACCTGTCTGCCTTGACGATCGAGGAACTACGAAGGGAAAATTCTAACGATTCTTTACTGCATGAGATTATTGAATATGTGCAGCAGGGCTGGCCCAAGAATAACAAATCCCCCGGTGAGTTCATTCCTTATTATGCAATTCGACATGAACTATCAGTGGTAGACGGTTGCTTGATGCGCGGTTCGGTGTTTGTAGCTCCGTCCCAGTTGATAGCCAAGATAATAGCTTGCGCACATGACGGACATCCAGGTATAGTTCGGACCAAAAATCGAGTAAGACAATAACAATAAAAAAGACAACAAAAACAACAAAAGACGAAAGAACCCATATTAAAAAAAAACCAACACCAAAAAAACAAAAAACAAGAAAAGAAAAAATAAACGCCGACAAACCCACAACCCAACAAAATAAAACACCTCACCCAACACCAAAATCAACAAAACACAACCCCCCAAACCCCCCAACCCACCCCCCCCACACACAAACCACCCCCCCCAACCACACACCACCCACCAACCCCAAACCCACCCCCCAACCACCACCCCACACACCCACCACACCCCCCCCAACAACATCATACCCCAACACCCACCCACCACCCCCACCAACACACCCCCACACACACAAAACCCCCCCACCCCCCCCACCCACCCCCCCCCCCCCACCACCCCCCCCCCACCCCCCCCCCCCACCCCCCCCCCCCCACCCCCCCTCTCCCCCCCATCCCCCCCCACCACCCCCCCCCCCCCCCCCTCCCCACCCCCCCCCCACCCCCCCCCCACCCCCACACCCCCCCCCACCACCACCACCACCAACCCCCACCACCCCCACCCCCCCCCCACCTCACCCCCCCCCCCCCACCCCCCCGCCCAACCCACCCACCCCAACCCCCCCCCCCCCCCCCCCCCCCCCCCCCCCCCCCCCCCCCCCCCCCCCCCCCCCCCCCCCCCCCCCCCCCCCCCCCCCCCCCCCCCCCCCCCCCCCCCCCCCCCCCCCCCCCCCCCCCCCCCCCCCCCCCCCCCCCCCCCCCCCCCCCCCCCCCCCCCCCCCCCCCCCCCCCCCCCCCCCCCCCCCCCCCCCCCCCCCCCCCCCCCCCCCCCCCCCCCCCCCCCCCCCCCCCCCCCCCCCCCCCCCCCCCCCCCCCCCCCCCCCCCCCCCCCCCCCCCCCCCCCCCCCCCCCCCCCCCCCCCCCCCCCCCCCCCCCCCCCCCCCCCCCCCCCCCCCCCCCCCCCCCCCCCCCCCCCCCCCCCCCCCCCCCCCCCCCCCCCCCACCCCCCCCCCCCCCCCCCCCCCCCCCCCCCCCCCCCCCCCCCCCCCCCCCCCCCCCCCCCCCCCCCCCCCCCCCCCCCCCCCCCCCCCCCCCCCCCCCCCCCCCCCCCCCCCCCCCCCACCCCACACCCACCCCCACATCCACCCCCCAACGCCCCCCCCCACCCCTCACCCCCCCCCACCACCCCCCCCCCACGCATCAACCCCAACCTCATCCACTCCATAACATACCTCAATGCAAACAACACCCACACATTTCTGGCCACGAATGGCATCTAGCATTGAGACATTTGTGGTCAATTGCAATGCTTGCCGATTAGCGGACAAAAGTTCTTTGCCCGTTAAAGCCCCGACACAGCCAATTGCTTACCCGATGAAACCATGGACCAAAATCGCCATTGATATTATGGGCCCTTTCGCTACTGCTCCTACGAATAAGCGAAATCTACTTGTTGCTACATGTTTTTACAGTAGATGGCCTGAAGTACACATGTGCGACCAAGTTACTACTTCGGTTGTGTTACGTTGGCTTAAACACTTGTTCAGCCGTTTCGGTTTACCGCATGAAATAGTAACGGATAACGGGCCACAATTTTGTAGCCGCGAATTCGCAGATTTTCTACATTGCCATAACATTAAGCACTCCAGAACTGCGCCCTACAATCCTGCAGCCAACGGCATGGTCGAACGTTTAAACCGGTCTTTAAAAGAAGCTATACAAGCCATACACATAGGAGGTTCGGACTGGGAAGATGCAGTTTTAACTGCGGTTTTTTCCTACAGAACATGTGACCACAGAGCCACCGGAAGAACGCCAGCGGAGTTGATGCTAGGAAGGCCCTTACGCACGAAGTTAAATGCTGCACATAAGCTTTTATCAGCGAGAGATGCCGAAGTTTCAAATCGCATAGCATCTTACCAAAATTCCTACGCTAAATTATCAAGACCAATGCAGCCCGGGACATACGTTCGCGTCAAAAGCAGAGCAACAAAGAAAGGCACACCTTCGCTTTCCGCTCCACTGCGCATCGACCGTACGCTTGGCCCGGGCACCTATCGATTGGAGAACGGCCTAATTGTCAACGCGCGTAGACTCCACACAGCTCACGGACCAGCTAATCAGCCCGACCGATCCGCGCGCGAAGACCCGGCTGAGTTACCATTACCACGAAGCCAGCTGCGTCGGTCCGCGAGAACGGTGAAACCTATTGATCGCTACGAACCCGGTTGAGGCAGCTTTTCGGAGGGGGAACGATAATGTGGTAACCATGTGAGCAAGATCGATTGGCTCAAGCTCATTGGTTGGCTTGCTGACTCATTACTATTGGTTGTGTGCGTCTGTCGCTTGACTCTCCGTTTTGACGAAGTTGACTCAGATGTACAACGTTGATTTTGCGAGATACATTTTACCTTTCCTACGGCTTTCTTGATACAACATAAACCTCCATCGATGCGGTGCTCCAGGTGCTCACCGTATTTACACGTGCTAACTGCGCACGATTTCACAGCAGTCCGGTAGCTATTGAAAGGTGTGGGTGCTAAGACGCATCCTTGCTTCACACCGGATAACGGCTAATTCACCTGAAGACTGTCCACTCAGCTGCATCCTTGCTCGCATCCCAGTGTGCATGCATTCAGTTAGACGATCAAACTTTGCAGGGCATCCAAACTGAGAGAGAATCAGCCACAACGCCTCACGGTTCACCGTATCGAACGCTTTGGTGAAATCGACGAAAAGCGAATACAACGGTTCATTGCGTTCACGACATTTTCCTGTAGTTGACATACTGCAAACACCATCTCGATGGTTATTCGACCCAAACGAAAGCCGCGTTGTTCCTCAAATACCTTCGGTTCCACTATGTGTCACAAGACGTTTTACCCTTAAACCGGTGGCAAATCTGAATCTACCAACCTACTTGACAGGTCGGCTTTAAGTGACAACCAATATCTCTAAAATCTAATGGTTCCTTCCTGGCTCTCGCACTCGCTTGTCAACCTTCGTTCAAGTATCTAACACATCTTGGTAATTGTCTGGACACCGATGCTGCCAAGGACACATTCTACCACGAACTGAACACGCTACTACGCAGTGCTACCAATTCAGATCTCATAATACTTGCAGGAGATCTGAATGCGTAGGTTGATCGTCTGGGCTCTTCAGAAGTTCATCTAGGTCAGGGTTTCCCAACCTGGGGGTAATTACCCCCAAGGGGTAAAATGGCATTTTCCGAGGGGTAAATACCGATAATTGGATTTGGTCACAAATCAGTCGCGAAATAAGCTTAATAACGAAATCACACATCGCAACTACCTCAGCATTTTTAGTTAGCCATCAGTCAATGCAGCTACTACGGCATGGCGCCTTTGTCGACTGCCACAACTGCTGCCGTGTTTTCGAATAAGCCAGTCGTTCACCGGGTCGAATAACGGGGTGGATAGCAAACTATCGTTTCAGCACTGGTCAAAGTACCAGTTATGTTCACAGGTGAATGTTTGACAGTAGGAACGGCGAGAAAGGGTGATTAGTGTTCACAAGGTATGGATACAGAATGGTGTCGGGAAAATGTCGAGGAATAACGTGAAACGGAGGAATGAAACACATGTCCATGTTTGATTAGGAATCAGACACCATGGGGTCAAGAGAGGGCCTGAATCGGGATAACGGTAAGCGTTTGAAAGGGCAGAGAAACGATACAATTGGGGTCACAACCAACATGGAATCAGCAGATTGGACGCCAGTGACCATTAGTTGTTATGTTGATCACTTTCATAAGCAGTTGTTTTTGACGAGAAGTCATGGCAGGTGAGCATTTTCATTCAGTGGCTTTGATGCCGACAAAAATATGTTTGTCTGCGAACGTTTGCGATAATGTCACCTGCATGGAATAACGAGATTAATTTCTATAAATGATATATATCTATAACATCTACCTACTTAATTGTTTGCAGGGAATACGTCTTCCAGAAAAAGCGGTCCTACAAAGAAGCATTTCTGCAGTGGGGCTTCACTAACTTCGGTGATAAAAATGTTGAGAAACCGCATTGCGTTTTGTGCAGCAAAGTGCTCACGGCGGAGAGTAAGAAACCTAGTAAATTGAAAGAGCACTTCGAACAAAGCCATGCCCATTTGATAGAAAAAGATAGTACATTCTTTAGAAGGAAAGAAGCTGCGCTAAAACTTTCGCGCATGGATATATCGAGCTCCTTTTCTCAGGCAAATGAGGCTGGCCTTGAAGCTTCGAATCGCCAAAAACAAGAAGCCGCATACCATAGGAGAGGACCTCATCAAACCTTGCATAATGGATGCGGTCAAGCTCGTTCATGGAGAACATCATGCGTAGAAGATTAATATGATAGCACTTTCGAACAACACCATCAAAAGTCGTATCGAGGACATGAGCAAACAAATTTTGAACACTGTGCTCAACGAAATAAGATCAAGTCCCTTCTCTGCAATCCAGTTAGATGAGTCGACCGACGTAGCGTCCTGTTCCCAACTACTTGTGTATGTTCGGTACCTAAAAAGTGATAGCTTCAAAGAAGAGTACTTATTCTCAGAATCCTTGAGCACGACTACGCGTGGCGAAGATGTCTTCCGAATAGTAAAGAAGTTCCTCGAGAAAGACATGCTACTGTGGTCGAAGTTAGTGGGTGTCTGTACAGACGCAGCACCAGCCATGTTGGGTGTCCGTTCCGGATTCCAAACATTGGTCAAAAATGTTGCTCCGCACGCTACCTTTAGTCACTGCATCATACATCGTTATGCCTTAGCAGTGAGCACTCTTCCACCTGCTTTACTTGACGTGTTAACCAAAGTAGTAAAGATAGTAAATGTCATCCGCAGTAGTGCGACCCACACAAGAATCTTCAAAGAGTTGTGCAATGAATTTGGAGGCAAATTCGACGTGCTACTATTGCACACAGAAGTGCGTTGGTTGTCACGAGGCAGGATGTTGCACCGAGTGCTTCAGCTTCGAGAGGAAATCGCACTCTTTCTTCGAAGAAAAGAGATGCATAAGGGTAAGGGAAACGAGTTACACGTTATTATAACAGACAGCGTGTTTATTTCGAAACTTGCTTATCTGGCTGATTTCTTGGGAGAAATCAATGGCGCTTAACCTCAGCCTGCAAGGGAATATGATGAACATTTTAGTCGCTCAGGATAGAGTAGGCGGTTTCCTTCGCAAACTGCAACTTTACCAGCGCTCGGTAGATGTTGACGACGTGGCGATATTTCCAGAACTAACAACGGTGCTCGTTAAAAGAAATGAAAAATGCGCATTCACGAATGAAATATCTTGCCACTGGTCATCAGTGATGAATTCCATCAGCAAATATTTTCCTGATTTGTAAACTCGCCAATTAAGTGCCTGGGTGCTAAGACCGTTTACAGTAGCTGAAGGAATATTTCCAGATACTGAATTCGAAATCAAGGTACAATTCCTAGGAATGCGCGAGGACAGCGAATTGAAGGTAGATTTCCAAAGCACACAACTAGTAACATTTTGGGCAAAGATAGGTGAAGAGTATCCATTACTGTCGGAAAGCGCATTGCGAATATTGATCCCATTTGCAACAACTTATAAATGTGAAAGTGCATTTTCGACAATGATGGTAATGAAAACAAAAGCAAGGAATCGAATGAACTTGGAGCACGACTTGCGGTGTGCATTGGCCGAAACTGCACCAAATATACCAGAAATTGTTACCACCAAACAATACCAACCGTCTCATTGATGTATATCGCCTCTTGTTTTCATTGAATTTTGAATTAAAAGTACTGTTTTCTTTCGTTTATTTGTCGAGGGAGATTCCGGATACCGATCACTTCTCGTACTTAAGTCGGATAATTATGTAGTGAGAAGGGGTGTTTCCTTCAATTGCATGAGCACGTGAAACTACATATAACATATGTTTTTGAACTTTAGAGCGAAATGTGCAATAGTTATTACGTAGTAGTCTTTCGAAAGTTTGGGGGTAAATGTCTGGTGGGCATCCCCGTTTGGGGGTAACGGCGTCTAAAAGGTTGGGAACCACTGATCTAGGTGGTAAGCATGGATTTAACTCCGAACAGACGGTCAACGGGCAGCGTCTGTTACAGATGTGTGCGGAGTACCGGCCGTTTCTTAGAAGCACTGTTTCAGACACACGGCCCCGAAGTGCTACTTGGAGTCCTCTTGTAGCTGGACCCAAATTGATCATATTGCTATAAGTTACAGGT